TAATACGGGGCCTTGACCAGTTAATTGCGTGAACCAACATATCCAACTAAAGTTTTATAAAGTGACTTTTAGGTATGTAATAATAATATAACAATATGTGGAAGTTATTTGACATTTATTTACAGCTCTGTGGGACAGACCTGACCTGTCTGAGTCAAAATAGACCCAGTAATGCCAATAATACAAAAATAAAGAGCATAATGTTAGAATATATATCATTTTTGTATAAAAATAAGTATGAGTTTAGTTGATGTTCTTATTCAAAACTTGCAGTGAGATATTTCATGTCTTAATCTCCACATCTGTTCTCTGCTGTCTATACAAACTATTCTCTTCTACTGAGGAAACTAATAACCTTTTATTACCACCTTTTGCCTGATGTGTAGCGTTTGAGATTTTGAATATTTATTCATCTTTATTTTATTTCGAATAAACACCACTATAATTTAAAATGAATATAAGAGGAGGCTATTGTAGGTCGTGGTCAGGGATTACAGTGCATCACCATGCATGTGTGTAAGAATGTGTACCAATTTTTGCCAATTTCAAATGCTTTATTATTTTAATGCATTGTTATTTGATTAAGAATTGATTGCCATTGACTGAATAATGTTGAATACCCATCTAAAAATGTGTTATTCCATTGAATTTGCACCATAATCTTAAACGCATTCAGAATAGCACATCAAAGTAAGAAGATAATGTGATACAGTTTTTACTGCTTTGTTTGATGTTTCTCACGAGAGCAACATGCTGTTTTGAATTACCTTGCCTCAAATTCATACATTGTCACACAATTAAACTTATTTCTGCAACCCAAGTCTGCTGAGGAGATTGAAATGTCCAGAGCCTCTAAAATATAAACCTTGACGTTTCTATGAATGTATAAATACATCAAATAAACGGCTGTGATTCACAGCAATGTATGTGTCTGTGCATCTTTTAGATCAGACCTAAATGTGTGTGAAACGTCTTTAAGGCTGTAAGGCTGCAAAGGCTTCTGTCACTGTGAGTGATTATGCGATTGAATTAGCTTCAGGAAGAAGCAGGTGCTAATTAGAACTGCAGAAACCCAAATGTGTATACTGCAGTCCTTGTACTTCCAGTGTTACATTTAGCACATAGTATTCATTAGGATGCAAACAACACCAACGTTTTTTTACTGGTTTTGAAAATACTTTCCCCCTTTCAACGCAACAATGTTGGCACTTTACTGCTTCCAGTTCCAAAAAAGTTTGCTGGGGTTTTGGCTTCTTCTTCTTTTGGACAGTTCTTTGGATATTTCGAACCATTTGAATATGTCAGAAAGTTTGGTAGAAGATATTTTTTACTATTTAATAATATTGTGTTGGCCAAAATAATTGAATTTAGAAATATAATATTGACTTGCAGCAAGCAATGTACTGTCTTGTGTTGATGATGACTTTGATTTAAATAATAAATGTCAGAGAGATAAATAGCAATCCTTTTCTTGAGTTACTTCCTTCTTTGCTCAAGGCAATGTTTTTCTCACTCTTCAGGTCAGGCCTGGAAGGCCCTGAGTGCTCCAGACAAGCGGCCATTTGTGGAGGAAGCAGAACGTCTTCGTGTCCAGCACCTCCAGGACCATCCGAACTACAAGTACAGGCCTCGCCGCAAAAAGACCACCAAAAAATTGAAGCGTGTTGAGCCGGGGCTTCTGCTTCACAGTTTAGCCCAGGGCGGGGCTACAGGCCTCGGATTGGGACACTTGGGAGATGACGGTCACTCTGGAGGTTCTCCTTATGGACATCTAGGCGTCCACCATAGCCATCACCATCACTCCCACCACCTCCTGCACTCTCTTGGGCACTTCAGGGACCTCCACGCCCCAGGACACCTCGAGCTGGAGACCTACGGCCTGCCCACCCCAGAGATGTCCCCTCTAGATGTTCTGGAAGATGGGGCTGGGGAATCTGTGTTTTTCCCCCAACATATGCAGGAAGAGGCAGGGATGGGAGGTTGGAGTGGCTACCACCACCACCCTAACCCTCATAACCAGCATTACAGCCATAATTACAACAACCACAGTCACCACAACTCCATAAATGCAGCGACACACAGTCAGAGTTCAGGAATGAGTGTTGGTGCCAGCACGTGTTTGAACTCCAGTTTGAGTCCAGGTAGAAGCTCCAGGGTCGATTCTCGAATGAGTTCTGCTGAGTCAAATATGACCTCAGGCATGAGCTCTAGGTTGAATCACATCGCCTTGAGGAGTCCAGTGAAATGCCCCCCAGCTCTATCCGACTCCTCCTCCCCTGTTTCCTACCCACAGCCCTCCATCAGCCTCCCTGAGCCGATCAAATCCCACCAAACCCAACATCAACCTACTGCTTCAGTCAGCTACTACAGCCAGGTGTATGGGAACAGCGCTCCAAATGCTGCCTATTACATGCCCTCTCACCTGGGGCAACTTTCACCTCCTCCTGAAACTCCTCCTTCTTCTTGCTCATCCTCCTCCTTGCAAACATCAACCTTCCCTCCTCCTTTGCACTTAGACCCTTCAAATCCTGAGTCCTCCTGCCATTTGGGGTCTTCTTCTGCTGAGTTTTGGTCCGAGGTGGACAGGCATGAATTTGACCAGTATGTAAATGTAGGGAGGAACCGAGAGGAGGCCTACGGGTGCAGTGGGGGCTCTGGTAGTGTGTCCAAAGTTCTGAGTGGGCGCAGTAGCAGTAGTGTAGCGAGTAGCATGAACAGCAGCAGTATTATTAACAGGGATGTTAGTAGCCTTTTGAGTAGTGCTGGTGTGTGTGATGATGGGAGCAGCCCTCTTATAACGGCTCTCTCTGATGCCAGTAGTGCTGTTTATTACAGTGCCTGTATCACTGGATAAATACACCATGAGCCAGTTGTCATAGTACCTCCTTTCAACCAGCACAGTTGGACTTGGTTTATGTTAACCATTGTTACAGGAAAGCTGTGTTGGGATTAGTTTTGGCTCATATTCTTAGTCATTGTCATGCCTCGCTTATCACTCAAATATTGGCTGGCTAGCTAACCAGCTTTTCTTGACCACCACAGGCTTGTGCAACTAGTTAACGTCTGGGAGGTTTAGTATGTTAACTAATTACAAAAGAGGCCTACAGTACTTGTGCTGGGCAGATACAGTAAACAGAAAGCCCCTTAAGGAGCATTGTGTTTTCACTTACTTATCAGAAGTGCTAGGTCTGTGTTAGCATGTGTAATGCTAAAAAACTGGAACCTTTATCAATAGCTAAATACATTTAAGACATGTAGGCTAAATTATTTTATTGTCTGAAGGATTCAGGGCTGTATATCAACAAGTGCTTGTCTTAGTTGAAGTGCCTTCTTTCTATTTCCTGTTTCATGGCTTTTGTTTCTCTTTACCCTTTCTGGTGACACTCTACTTACTACATGAAGATTATGCAAGCAACGTGATTTATTTAATTGCACTCTAGTCTGAACTCTAGTCATCAGAAAAGTCGGAATTTCAAGATCATCTCATATATTTTATATTTCATCTCAGGACCAGACAGATATTCATCTCCACTGAACTTCATAGAGTTTAGGTTTATCATCTCAATTTTTAAATGGGAATGTGAAGACAGTAAAGAAGAAATGTGGGAGATGGACAGAGAGAAAAAGACTGGAAAGAGACTTGGTCCAGCCTCCACATATCTCCCAGCGTTTTCGGGAAAGCCTTGGCCACGGACCCAGAGCAGACCACTGATGTCTCCCACAAACGTTCAGTGTGTTTTACAAGCCGAGTCGGGTATTTTCTGACCGTGATATATGCCATTCCCTCTCTGTCTCCTTCCATGACAGGGCCTCAAGTTCAAATCCATGCCAAAATCTCCAAGTCTTAAATTGCTTTGCTCCATGGCAAGCACAAACATGTTGATGATTCCAAGATGATTCCTTTTAACCAGTTAGCATCACTGGTATAACATGCAAATCAATTGTTTTGACAAAATGCCTTTTTTTAAATGTTAAAAAGTGTAATTTAATCTATAAATACAAATATTGTGTTTTACAAATGAAGTGCCATTGGAATAAATCTGGTGGGATTGGAAGCACCTTTACTTTTTAACTCATCAGGTCTAAGGTCTTGATATTCTCCAATCAATGCATCTTCATTTCCCTTTAACATGTAAGGTCTTTTGATGTATGGGTAACGTTTTTTATACGTAGCCTTTTACTGTATATATATATAGATGCTGTGCCTTTTGGCAGTATGTGAAGGAGAAATTGAGACTATGAAATGTTCTCTTTGCACTGGGTTTAATGTCTTAGCTGTATAGAAGGAACACTACTTATAAAAGATCAGAATGTCCATAATTTTAGGTTTTGTACAGAAAGGACTGTGTTTGTTTTGTTTTAATACACTAGATTATGTTTTATGAATTTGTCTTTAAGGAATAAGTTGACATTTTATTTGCTTTCTAAATTAGAAAATTGATACCACTCTTGTGCGTGTTAAATACCGAGCTAAAGCCAGGAGGTGATTAGCCTAGCTTAGCATAAAGATAGCTATCAGGTGCAAACAGCTAGCTAAGTTTCTTCCAAATGAAAAGGTCTGCCAACTAACTTCTTTAGTATATAGCAGCTAACATAGCTCTCCGTAGAACAGAACATGTCAATTGCATATTCCTGTTTGTTCTTTAATTCAACTATTTGAACTGATCCAGGCTAACTGTTTTCCACTGCTTACTGTCTTGGAAAGAAAGTAAATAAGCATATTTCTCAATGTCGAACTATTCCTTAATTAATAGATGCTTTGAATATAAAACCCTTGGACAGTGTGTTTTCTTTTATTGTTTAAACCGTAATGTTGCATACTTGCTTTCAAAGAAAATGTTTTATTGTGAAGATCTTTATTTATCTTTCATGTTTCACTTTGCTCTACCGGTGACTTTAGCAAGCCCTCAGACCAATGTTAACGGCTGGATATTAACATGAATTTGTGGTTTTGTTTTGTGCTGAAAAATAAAAAATAAATAAAAGTTGTAGCCACTGTAGAGGTCTCTCTGTATGTGTTCATGTAGCATCCATCTTTTAATATTTGTGTATACAGTGGGAGTTAAGAACAGAAGGCTCTCTTCAAGGATTTATCCTGCATCTGTTCTGCATTAGACTACAGACAATTCTCTTTTTTTTCACATGAAACAGTAGAACAAAATCATGAATCTTGAAGAGTGAAACCAGTTATATTTACCACACTGTTCCTTGTGGCCACCATTGATTGAAACAGAGTGGATTTCCCCCAAAATTCCTCTAAAAGAAGGAGCCACAGAGAAGCAGCAGTTCAAGCTGTGAGTATTAAAAAAAATACTTCTACATCTGCATTAGACATTCTTCTCTGTTGACACTAAACAGAGTCTTGTTTCCATTTTAATTTACTGTGACACACAAAGAACATCAGAGAGACAGGCGTTTTTTGGAGTCGTGCAATAACTCTGGGGCTTTTGGTAATAATTATCTGAAGAAAAAAACAAAACACCCAAGATGTTGTGATTAAAACAAAGAACGACAAATTAAAACCAGGATTTTCCCAGAAGTGTCACGTTGATGCTTCTAAATCTGTCTGCCAGGGATCATTTATATATTTTCTGTAGAAAATGGCTTTGTTTGTGTTTGTGTTGGAGAAATGTGGGTTTGCTGTAAATGGATCCATTCTGTTATATAAAATAATGTTGCAAAATAAACTCTTTTAAAGTTTCCCTTTGGGTGCAAGTCTCTAGAGCAACACGTTCGGCTGAATGAAACTAAAAAGATACCCATTTTCTGTTATAGCTTTAACCAAAGAGATTTAGTCTGGCACATTCACGTCGGAAAGCTTGACAACACAACCAAACTATATATAATTTTGTCTGATGAAATACGAATAAATCTAGATAACACACTGAGTTAGTTTAGTACGTTTTAGTAATAGTTTGATTGAATACCTTGAAGACGTCCTGTTTACAGTCATGGCTCCTTCCTGCTACTTTTCTAATAGTCGTCCACCTTTCGATCTCATCTTTGGGCCACTGAGAAAACACACAGATCTGAATTTTGCATCTCTAGAGAAGATCCCAGAGTTACAGACACCTCATCAGGCTGATCTTTGAGGATATGTGTGTGATGAGGCACACAAACCCTCCAGAATATTTCCATTCAATGTGGTTTTCATATCAATAAAGCACACTTTACTTATACCATATCCACTGGCATAATTCTGGCCTGATGTTTGTCCGAGAGCCATATAAACCATAATGAGCCCAGGGCTGCAACCCCAACAACTCATGCAACATTAACAGGCCATTCTGGCTCACATTTTGTCATTTGGTGCCAACACTGCCCTAATAATAGTGACCTGATAATTCAACAAAAATGCCATCTTGTTTCACATCATTTATCTATTGATATTGGGCAATCACATATTTGTTAACATGATAGCATGGTACATTGTTTAAGGTTGACACCAATGTGTTGCTTCTGGTAGCTACAGGCGGTTAACTAGTAGGTTTGTTCTTCTCATTTTATTGCCATTTTCTGTGGTTATTATGCCAAGAAGCTATAGCTACTGTTTGAAGGAAGATGACGTCCATATTCATAATCATACCTACAAATTAGGAGCATCTTCCAGAACAAACGCAGTCTTTGCCGTGTAAACAGTTGTACAATTTCAGCAGTGAAAGCATGAAATCTGCTCTTCATGTCTTCTGGTAGTTGGATGAAAATGAGGAAGATGAGACAGAGTAGGGGGTGGGAAAAGGAGGAGAAGATGAAAAAACGTGGGTTAGACAGAAAGACAATCACCTCAGTGTTTGTGTGGTGCTGTAGTCTCTGTGATCTGCTCTGATTCTGTCCTCTCAGGGTTCAGATCCAACGCTAAACGAGTTTGGCTCGGTGGGACAGTCCCCCCCCCCCCATAACAAACCGCTGACGGACTCAAAAGAAAACATTTAGAACAAGGAAAAACTGTTCCCGTATGCTGTCTTCTCTGACAGTCTGATTTCTTCTCTTTTTTGTGTCAGTTGGCCTTGTTTTATTCTCAGCCCCCAAGCCACTGTAATGTTCTCTTTTTCTGCTTTTCTCTTCTCTTTCCCACGAGTTTGATTCCTGACTCTTGATTCTTTCTGTCGTACCCTCTCTCCATCTCTTCCTGCCACCGTTATATTTGTCATCCTGTTTTCCTTTGAAGTTCATTTCATCTCACCTTTCCTTTTTCTACGCATTCTTCCTTTGCTTCGTCACTCTTAGTTTCATTTTGTTTCTGTTTATTTTCTTTTTGATACCAATTTAGAATCTTTAACTCCATCTTCTCCTTTTTTCCGTCTTAATGAAAACGTTCTCACATTTTGCAATAAAAATGTCACTCCATCTCCTTCGTTGTATTTTTATCCAATTTACCCATCATCATATTTACCTCTAACTTTTTTCTCTCGTAATTTTAACTCATACATTATCTTGTCATCACATTTACTATTTTGTACACATATTCTATCCCTTTCCTATTTCCCTTTCTCTAACAAATTACTTAATTATTGTCTCTATTTCTGATCCGTCTTATCTTTTTACCCAGTCTTTCCCTTGTTCCTTCCCGGCAGTTTGTCCCTCTTTTTTCCAATAAGATTCAATTAACAGATTATTGTAGGTGCCTTAACTGGGCTGTAAAAACCAAACTGAGGATAGCGTGTGGTGTGTAGAGTGTGTGTGTTTTCCTACACCGGGTCATTTACTGTACTCGGGGTGTGTGTTGCTGAGGTAACTGACAGGAATGTGAGCAACGAGGAGGAAACTCCTGTGGAAGTTTGGGATGTTCGGAAAGGGTGTGTGGGCCTCCGTGTGTGTGTGTGTGTGTGTGTGTGTGTGTGTGTGTGTGTGTGTGTGTGTGTGTGTGTGTGTGTGTGTGTGTGTGTGTGTGTGTGTGTGTGTGTGTGTGTGTGTGTGTGTGTGTGTGTGTGTGTGTGTGTGTGTGTGTGTGTGTGTGTGTGTGTGTAGAGAGTAGGAGAGAGAGAGGAGGAAGAAATGTATATTTTTGTGGGAACACCTCACCCCGCTGCTTGTTACTCTGTCTGGAAAAGATAACAGAGGGCTGGATTCCCCTCTTCCCTGCTGGAAATGAACACACGTGAGCTTCCAGGGTGTGCACAATGTGTGTGTGTGTGTGTGTGTGTGTGTGTGTGTGTGTGTGTGTGTGTGTGTGTGTGCGTGCGTGCGTGCGTGCATGCGTGTGTGCGTGCGTGTGTGTGTGTGTGTCTGTGTGTGTGTGTGTGTGTGTGTGTGTGTGTGTTTAAAACTTTAAATAATTTGGCAAACAGACAAACAACTTTCACATCAGTCTTTGTCGGTTTTATGTGACACTGTTTGGTTGCCTTTTCTGCCTCTCCTGTGACATGCCTCCATGCTTTAATGTTCAAAAAGCTCTTTATTTTTCTCATACTGCCTGTGCTGCAGCACCTCTTCTCACCCTCTGTCTGAAACCAGAGCCCAGTCTGCTCTGATTGGTGAGCTGGTCGACTCTGTTGTGATTGGTCAACCGCTTAGAGATGTCCCGCCCTAGCCTATCACGTACAATGTGTTGGAGCGCTAGCCAATTGAAGTGCGAGTGTTACATGGTGATGTCACTATGTCACAGAAATAAACAAAGGAGTCCAATGGAGGCATTTCAGGCAGGAAGAGAGAGACTCCGTCTGGAGGGAACTTTGGGATTTAAGTCCTTGCAGAACATTCACAAGCACAAAGCCTTATATTACACTACAGGAGAGGGACATCCTAAAAAAGCCTAATAGGGATTCTTTAAATTATTTTGCTCACAGTGTAAGTTCATGGAGGGTCCGAGTATGGACATTAAATACGCATATGGAGATAGACACTGAGGGAAAATACAGAGAGAAATACGTGGAGAGGCTGAGAGAAAGGAATTTGAACATCCATGTGTTTGAAAGAAAGAAAGAGAGAGAGTGATTAAGAGAGAGAGACTATGGCAGAGAGTCAGAATAGAGAGGGAGGGATTTTCCCGACTCTTTCTGTCTCTGCGGCGCTTTATTGGCCACATGTGGTTAGGATGTCAGATCAGTCACCACAACTACACACTGTCTCACTGACTCTGTGTGTGTGTGTTTGTGTGTGTGTGTGTGTGTGTCTGCGGTTCTCCATGTGTGTGTGATCTTTACAGACTCTGATGTTAGATGACAGCTGGTTGGTTCACGCTGTAAATGTGTTTGTGAGTTTGTGCAACTTTCAACCTCTTTGTGTGGAAGTTTGTGCATCTGTGTGTGTGAGTGTGTTTTGTGTGTGTGCAAGCTTGCTTGTGTGCGTGTGCGCATACAGATGTGTGTGTGTCCAACACTTTTCATGTATTACACATGTGTGTTTGAATTTCCACTTTGACTTTGACCGCTGGGCAGTACATAAAATAATGACTTGTGTGTGTGTGCGTGTGTGTGTGTGTGTGTGTGTGTGTGTGTGTGTGTGTGTGTGTGTGTGTGTGTGTGTGTGTGTGTGTGTGTGTGTGTGTGTGTGTGTGTGTGTGTGTGTGTGTGTGTGTGTGTGTGTGTGTGTGTGTGTGTGCAGATACAGTTGAGACACACTCTGTGTTTTTAGGCAGTTATTTTGTCTACTTTTGTCTGTAAATTACTTTTTATATTTCATTTTTTTTCTCTTTAAATCTATTGACATAAAAACATATCTGTTTTTGATTTAGATTTGACAGAATGATTAAAGAATTCTAATTAAGGTTCTTGTAAGAAGATCATATTTTAGCCAGATGAATCATATGGTAATCTTTATATTAATATAAAACAGGAGATCATTTGATTGCAGGAACATGAGTCTTCCAGGCAACTTTTCATACACATGTTGTTCACATCTGGGACACTTTTTCACTCACTTAATCAGACACAGAAAAGTAGACATTTTAACTAGTTGTATTTTTTTTTTTATATAAATGTAAGTCGAGGGAACGGATGCCACGCTATGTATTTGTATCACTAGTTCTGCGTCAGAAACATTCAAACTACTGCAGGACAGA